TGAAAACAGATATTTTGAATCAGGTAAACTCATCTAAAAAAGATTCTGTGCAATTAAATTACAGTGGCTATAACAGCACTACTTCATTGTGTTATTTTAACTGCAAAGCATCTGTAAAATGCGCCACGGCGATTTGATCCTTTTTTAATATTTGGTAACATTGAATGTTCCTTTCAGTTCTGACTGAAATATTTTTCTAGAATGTCTTCACACATAATGGACTGTATTTCTTCTTTTATATTTTCTCTAGTTGTGTTCTAATTGCAAAAATCACTGCACTGAAGAATAAAAGCTCTGACCATGAAAGAGTTTTCTACATGTTGATGGAATATCAAATATAAAAGTTAAATTGCCTGTATCTTACCAAGCATCCTAAGGTACTTTAGAGTTTAGTGGAAATAAATAATTGCAGAGTGAAAATGCTATCTGAGATGATGGATGCTCAGGGGAGTTGAGAAAGTATTTTTCACTGCCTGGTCACTGGCTTGAAGTTGAGAGTGAACGTAGTTACCTTCTGATAGCTCATAGCGGACTGCATGAATTTTTTTTGTGGATTAATCTAGTTCTGTGCAGATCTGTGTTTAGGCTGGAGAAAAAGGTCATTAAAACCACATAAAGTTTCAGAAGAGGAAAAGGGATACTTCTAGACAGTCTTATCATAAGACTAACATTTTAGCTGAAAACACAAATAAGAAGTGGGCAACAGCAATATAGCGAAGCCTGTATCGTCATGTCTGCATATTTGCTCTGTGGATCAGGGACTCCAGTTTCTCAGACTATTTACAGATTACTGCAAGCAGTAATTATTTATTTTAAAAGACACCTGTTTAAAACTTAAGGAGAAAATCTGTAACTGCTATTGAACAAAACTGCTTCCATAAGCAAAATTCAGTGTAAGAAACTGTTGCTGAATTGGACCCTAAGCAAATAATTCAAGATCCAAAAAATATTTATTAACATCTTTAACTGAAGAAAAGTATAGACTGATTTGTGATGAAAGTAAATGCAGAAAAAATTTGTAACTCATTCCCATAAAAACTTTCATGATTTATTTCTTAAGAGGACACCTTTCAGTTTTCCATTTATGAACTGTGCAGTTATTTAAAAGGAACATAGTTAGCCAGTGACTGATTTTTTTATAACTTTTTTTTTCCCTTTCGTTAAAATCTTGAAATATTTCTTAAAGCTAGCTTGTGTAACACGATCTATTCTAAGTGAGAACACGATCTATTCTAAGTGAGACATCCATAGTTTATTATGTGTTCATTTCATTCTGCTATTAAACAAACATTTTGTTTAGATTCTGAATACGATGACCCTTTCATTAGTCAATATATTTTCTAAAACAGGCTCAAAAGTAGAAACACACACACAAGCATGCTTCCACTTACAATAGGTCTGTGAGGAATGCAGTTTTTGCAGAAAGCTTGCTTTGTGTGTGTGTGTGTGTGTGTGTGTGTGTGTGTCTGTGTACAGAAACTACAGAAAACTTTAGAATCTGCTTTCCTCACCTTTCTTGGAAATGGGCTTGTTTTTTTGGCCAAATCCATAACATACGTTTCTGTTTCCTCTCCTGTTAATTTTTCCTCTTCATAGCTGTTGTGTACTTCAGAGTCTTTAATATGTTTCTCTTTATAATATCCCTTTGTGGTTAGATGGTTTTGGTATATTCATTTTATACCTGAGGAAAAGAAACACAAAGGAGAACTTTTGTTAACAAGTCCCAAGTCCCATTTTTAAATGACTTTGATTCCTAGATGCCAAAATCTCACTGAGTGCTATTGGTATTCAAGCACCTAAGGGACATATTTTAAAATATTAGTTGTGAAATACTGAGGCATCAAAAATAGGTCCATAAGGCAAGAACAAAAATAATTAAAATTTTATATGAGACAACATCAAACCAACTGCATCTGGCTATATTTTCATTAGCGATTACTGCTGGTGCTATTCCTGAGCCTGAACAGTGGAAACTGTGGTGACTGTATCTACTGTTAAAGTGCTAAATGGCTGCAAATCAAGATTTTTACTCTCAAGCCTTGGAAAAGCATAGAACCATCATTTAGTAAGCTGATGTGCTTTTGCAGTGTAATAAAATACTGACAGTTTATGGTTTGGAGGCTAAAGACTTAAAGGGCAACATCATTCAAAGAACTGAAGAGTGGACAGCAAAGAGCAACTCCCACGATCTGATTGAGGGCCTCTACCTCAAGATATGGCTACTCAAAACTTATTCAATAGTAATCCCTATGGGACTTTACAGATCCTGTGAACATTGTCCTGAAATAGGAATATTTACATGAAGAAAGCTTTCAAGATTGCAGGCTGATAAAGTTTAGCTCTAGAGTAAAAGATCAGTTAAGAGTTAGTAGATTAAGTGCTACTGAGACTAATGTAGGGA